CGGGCTGTTTTTCAATTGTAGGGCTGTTTGAGGGGCGGTGGCGACGTCGGGGTGATGTGGTGTAAACTTTTTTTCGTTCCCCGGGGGAACAACGAAACATTGTACACCAGGATCCCGTACACACCAGGAGCCGCTCTCCTTTGCAGATTTCAGCGCAGGGCCGGAAAAAGCGTTGGTGTATAGAGAGTTCGACTCCCCCCACCCTTGGGAGGGCGGAACGGAGGGAGGAGGGAACCCGGCCCGGGACGGAGGATCGAGTTGGAGAGTCAAGGGTGGATCGTCGAGAGTCAGGGGCGCTTCTTGGTGGTTTTGTTGGGTCCTGGTCCTGGGGGCTCCCGCGCCCCCCTCCCTCCACCCGTTCTTCCTCCTCCAACTCCCCCCCCCACCTCGTCCCACCTTCCCCTCCTCCCTCCTTCCCTCCCTCCCCCTGTTTTTCTCTCCTCGAACCCTCCCCCCCCCCTCCCCCCAGACCTCGTGGAACCCCAAAAGAACCCGAGAAGATTCGCCGACGCCCCCCCCTCCCCGAAAAACGCTCGAGAAGCCTGCCCCCAAACCTCGTGGAACCCGAAAGAACCCGAGAAGATTCGCCGACCCCCCCCCCCCCCGAAAAACGCTCGAGAAGCCTGCCCCCAAACCTCTGGAGAGGCCCCCGAGACCTCCAGGGCGCCCGCGAGGATCTCCAGGGCGACACCCCCCCCCCCAGCCCCCCTCGAGAACCTCCGTCTGAGACCACGCAGGCCTCTCGGAACCCATCCCACCCTCCTCCTCTTCCTTATCCCTCCCTTTCCTCCTCCTCCTCCTCTCCTCCTCCTCCTCTTCCTCTCCTCCTCCTCCTCTTCCTCCTCCTCCTCCTCCTCCTCCTCCCGCTCCTCCCCCTCCTCGTCCTCCTCCTCCTCCTCTTCCTCCTCCTCCTCCTCTTCCTCCTCCTCCTCCTCCTCCCGCTCCCCCCCCTCCTCCCCAGTCCCCCTTCATCGCCCACCAACGAAGCGTCCTCCCCTTCAACCGAGTGAAGCCTCGCAGACTTCCCCGATCCCACCGAGACTCCCCCCTATCCCTTTTCTCCCCTCGGACCTTCGTTCAGCTCCCCTCGTGTAATTACCAAACATCCTCGCTCGTCGACATCGAGGACACTGACATCATAAGTCGATGGTGATGACGTCGTCGACCAAAATGTCGCTGTCGACGACGACGGCGTTGACGGCCGACGCGTCACCGACGACGGCGGCGTCGACGGCGGCGTGATCAACTTGGACGCCGTCGACCCCGTCGACCTCGACGGCGGCGTCGGCCTCGCCCTCGGTGACGCCGCCGACCACGCTGTGGACCGCAGCGCCGCCGACGGCGTCGCCGACTGCACCGCCGACCCCCCGGGCCCGAGGACCACTCCGCGGAGGCCGCGCCCGGCAGGCGCCTGTCCGCCGTCAGGACGCGCGCGCCCACGGCCGAGGCCGCCGCCCCCCCGGCGGCCCCTCGGCCGCCCCGCGGCCGCGCCCCGCGGCGGCCCGCGGCGGCCCTCGGCGGCCGCGGAGGCCCGCGGCGGCGCCCCGCCGTCGAGGCCGCTGCCCGCGGCGGCCCGTGGCGGCCGCCCGCGGCGGCGGCGACGGACGACCACGGGCGGCGATGGCCGGCGACGGGCTGCGGCGGCGAACGTAGGGGGAACAACTTGTGACGTGAACATAAAAACTCGGAGGGCCGCGCGGATCTCTCGGATCGGCGCTGGACCCCCCTCCCTGGCGCGAGGAGCGCGCCAGGGGCGGCGCTGGAGGCGCCGCCGGGGGGCTCCAGTGCCGACCCGAGAAATCCGCGCGGACCTCCGAGGTTTTATGTTTATGCCAATTTTTGTTCCCCTAGAACGGTTCCAGCGTCGTCGTCGACGTTCTTCGTCCGCCGTCGTCGTTGTCGTCGTCCGCCGTCGCCGTCGCCGTCGCCGTCACCGCCGCTGTCAGCGCCCGCGTCCGTCGTCGTCCTGGTCGGCGTCCGTGTCTGTGGCCGTCGTCGTTGTCGTCCTCGTCGTCCTCGTCCCCGCCATGCTGCCGCTGCTCTCGTTCCTCTGCTCCTCGAGCTCCCGCTTCTGCTCCTCCTGCTCCTCCACCCGAGGCTTCCCTCCTCCTTCCCCTTCTCCCTCTTCTCCTCCTCCATGATCCTCCTCGTGCTCTGCTCACTCTCCTCCTCCTCCTCTCTTCCTCCCACTCCTCCCCCTTCCACCTTTCTCCTCATCCTCCTACTTCATCCTCCTCCTCCTCGTCCTTCTCCTCTCCTCCTCCTCCTCCTCCTCCTCCTCCTCCTCCTCCTCCTCCTCCCTCCGCGTCCTTCTCCTCCTCCCCCTCCTCCACCTCCTCCTTCTCCTCCTCCTCCTTCTCCTCCACCTCCTCCGCCTCCCCCTCCCCTCCCCTCTCCCCCTCCCCCTCCCCCGTCGAACCGCCCAACTGCATTTCCCAGCCGCCCCCCCCCCACACCTCACACCAACCCCCGCCCTCCGCACGGACGGCCCCCCCTAGGCCCCCAGGGCCTCCCAGACAGCCAAGGACCACCACCCAGGAAGGCCCCCCAAATACACTGGGCTACCCAAGACCCCCTCATACAGCCCAGTAAGCACTCAAAAATGGCCCCGCAGGAGCACTTAGCAGCTCCAGACCATCACCCATGGTATTTTCCCCGCCCTCCTCCTCCTCCTCCTCCTCCTCCTCCTCCTCCTCCTCCTCCTCCCTCCTCCTCCTCCTCCTCCTCCTCCTCTTCTCTTCCTCCTCCTCATCCTCCTCCTCCTCCTCCTCCTCCTCCTCCTCCTCCTCCTACGCTAGCTCCTCCCCTTCCTCCTCTTCCTCCTCCTACTCCTCCTCGTCCCCATCCTCCTGTTCATGTTATGTGTCCTCCTCGTTATCCTCCTTCTCCTCAAACGAATGCAAGTTCGCATACGCATATATAACAAAATCAATGTGCATATCGATATGCATAATGCCAATTTGTTCTAAGTGGTAGCAGTAGGTACAGTAACATTCATAGTGTCATTACTTGTAGCATTCGTAGTAGTACGGGTAACATTAATGTACATGAATGTCTATATACATGTGCACACATAGATATACATGTAGTAAGGCTAACACTTATGTGCACATACATGCCTGCATATATATATATATATATACATATACTCCCTAGGACGAGTATCCCTTAGGACGAATACCCCCTAGGACTAGTACACCCTAGGGCTAGTCCTCCCTGGGATTAGTACTCCGTAGGACCAGCGCACCCTGATGCGCAGCTACTTGAGCCCAGAACACACATACGATATAAGTGTATATCCTACGGCGCTGGTGCGGGCAACGTTTCGGTTGACCACGCTGTACAACGGGAGAAGCAATGGTCATGGCATGCGAACAACCGATTGACACAGCGAGACATGACGGCGTCGTGTTGTTCAATCACGGTGCCAAGTAAGAGTGGTCTCGCGCAGTAAACAATGTTTTGCACATGTGAAAACACCCGAAAACATGCCTGGTCCCAGGATATTGTGACCTTTTTCAGTTACTCCCAGGATCTGGAAAACCACGGATCAGGCAAAATAGCAAACACATGACACGTGTTCAACACATAACACAAAGCATTAGAAGTTATGTTATTTTGCTTGATCTTGGATTTGGGGAATTCTTGCTTAAGCCCAGGATCTGGACAACCAGGGATCAGGCGAAGAAGCAAACCATAGATTGGTTGATGTATTGCTTGAACAATCTATTATTGTGCTTGATCCCAGGATCCCGGGATTTCTCCACTTAAGCCCAGACTCTGGAAAACCAGAGATCATGCAACATCGCATGTTTAAACAACATAGTACAAAACATAATTCGGTTGGTAAGCGAAACTTTCCACAACAATAACAATTAATATCAACATCAAACTATGTGCTACTTCTGTGAATTCGGTGATTCTGAAATTCAGCGCGTTGAGGCCCTGTAGGGTTTGCTAGGAAGGACTCAACAGCAGGGACTGCGCAAAGGTACGTCCGAACGAGGGCGGGGAGGCGAAAGGGGGCGGGAGGGGGCGGCTGGGAAATGCTTCTGGTCGGCTGTACCCTTCTCCCCTTCCTCCTCCTCCTCCTCCTCCTCCTCCTCCTCCTCCTCCTCCTCCCCTTTGTCACCCATCGTCCCTCTCCTCCCCCTCCTTCCCCTGTTCCTCTTCCTCCTCCTCTTCCTCCTCCGCCCCCTCCTCCTTCTCTTCTCATGCATCTTGTTGGGCACACATGGCGGACGACGGTGGCCCTCCTGCTCCGCTCCCGTCTCGGCTCCCTGCGAGCGCGCCCCCCTTCCCCGAGATCGAAACAGCAACCCTGATCGTGTAGGCCCTGATCGTGTTTGTGGCATAGTCCTGCACGTGTCTCATGCATGAATCTGCGAACAACGAAGCTAGGTTGGGGTAGGTGATGGCCAGGCAGCCTAGGTGTAAAACAAAAGAAGCCCAAGTCAAGCAGTAACCTACAGACATACAGAACACGTATCTTCACCCAGACATCCATGACACAAAAGCAGACAACAGGCATCTGGAGCTGTTCAGGCTCGAAGCGCTAAACCACACAAGGCTGCTCCCAGGTTCGGCAAGCCCTGGGCAGCCTTGCAGCAGAGTTGGAACGACACATTCCTTTCACATCTTTCGTGCCCGCTGAAGTCGAAGCAGAACAAACTGCGCAGGTACAACGTCTCAAAGCTCCGCGCGGATTCTTGCCATCTGCTTTGGGCCCCCCTGGCACGCCTCCGCGCGCCAGGCAGGGGCGCCCAGCGCCGATCCGACAGCTTGTGAGCATCAGTTTCTGCTCTGTGAGGGGCCTCCGCAGGCGCCGCGCCTCCAGGCGCGCGTGCGCGCACTGCGCGGCTGCCGGCCTCCTCCCCTCCCTCACGAGAAGCCCGGAGGGGGCGGCGGCGCCGGCGCGAGGCCGCCCTGGCCCACGAGTTCTTCGTCGACCTCGGCACCAGCGCCGGGACCGCCGACCCCCGCGGGCCGGGGCGGGGACG